GCGGCCCTCGCGCAGTGACCGAGCAGCGGCACCAACAAACGGCCCTCACAGACTGACCCTCCAGGGGGCGACCCCGGCTCCTGTGCCTTCCTGAACGTGTCTTCACTGCCTGCCACTCCCCAGTGCCTTACAGTGCCTCTCAAATAGTATTCCGTAGCGTGATAGTGTTAGTGAATATCCACACGTACATCGCATCACCGCCGAGAGAGCGAGAGAGCGAGAATGGCTTGGCTCAGCACCGAGTTCTACTACTACAAGGGCAGCGCCCCCTGCCGCGCCGTCTGGATGACCCTGAAGATGCTGAAGGTCGAGTATGAGGACAAGCAAGTGGACCTCATGAAGGCGGAGAACAAGCGACCGTGGTTCGTGCGGGTGAGTCCTAGAGCCAAGGGGAAGGGAGGGGGGGGGGGGAGAGGGGGCAAGGGGGGAGGGAGTAAAGGGAGGGAAGGGTTAGGAGAGGGAAAGAGGTGAAGGAGGGGAAAAAGAAAGAATAGAAGGAGAGGAAGGGGAGAGAAGGGAGGAGGAGGAAAGGGAAAAGGGGAGTAGGAGGGGAAAAGAGGAGAGATAATAGGAAAAGAGGGTAAGGCAAAGGAGAGAAAAAAATAAAGGAAGGGGAGGAAGGGATAAAGGGTAAGAGGAGAGAGGAGAAAGGACCAATATCTCAATCCATGAAGCTAAATCGACGGGTATTTACTGCGCCATACATGACGTGGCACAGTCCTGATCCTCTAATATGGTAATGTCACCCCGCCTTAACGGCTGTCATGCGCGGGACAAACCATGCATATGTATGGCTGTCGCAATCTCTGTGATGCCGTCTTCCTCGCGTTATATCGTTGCACACTGATATCACGGTAAGTGTGATGATGTCTTGATCTTAGGATAGTGTCACTCATCTCAGAACACCACAAGTGGACCGGACTGCAGTGTTGTCAGAGGTACACTCATCACTCCGATTGAGATAACCATAAAGCGAGCGTGAGTCAGGGAGGGGAGGAGGGGAAGAGGGGGGAGGGGAGGTGCACTTAGATAGAGGGGGAGGAGGGGGAAAATGGGTGGGGGGGGTTGGGTATGAAAATAATCAGCTCGTAGAATGTGTTGGTGACATAGAGCTTTCTGTAGGAATTTTAACTAGTTAATATAGTAGTAGTTTCTGTAGATGTATATAACACATAAGTACTTATTTTTTTAATGTGTATGCATATATATATATATATATATATATATATATATATATATATATATATATATATATATATATATATATATATATATATATCAGAAACGGTATAGAATTCGAATTGCTAATCTAAGGTGATCTGTTTTTTAAGATGCAATGTTTATGAGAAATCATTCTTTCCTACTAATGAAACTTTCCTCCCCATGCGAAGCTCAATCGCAGGCAAGTGACCAGCAGCTTCGCCTCATAACTCCGCTGATGTGGGTCATGTTGTAGTAAAAAGCGGCACCGCATGTCACGCATGATATGTAGCAGTGACGTACGCTTCAGTCGCCCTTACTTAGCTGCAGGTTTTATACCCGAGCATGTTCTGACTAACGCACAGTAATGAGCAGAAGTTGTGGCTTGCTGGTATATATATATAAAAAGGTTGCTTGGTGTGTATGCTTATCAGGTTGGAACTCTCTCTTTTTTTATTTCCTATTTCACAGAAAACATAAACAGATGGATCGCAGATAGGCATAAATGATATACGAAAATAGATAGTCCCATTAGTGGGATTGTGGCGAGGTGAGAAATATCCTGCGATTAATTTTAAAGCGCATATGTGCTTGTACGGAATCTTAGTAAATATAAATGCATCCATTTTATTTTTAAAAATGCCTTGCGCTCTGGCTGGAAAGACTTGGGAGATGCGGTTCTTTTAATTTTTTCTTGGCTTTATAAGTACTGTTTGCCCAGCGTCTTGCCATCGCCGTTAGCATCAGTTCAGATCGCTTAAAAGACGGCACCAACGAACGGTATAAAGCGAGTCGATAGTTGCATGATTCGTTTATTTCTTTATTATCGCGTATTTCCCCGGAGTTCGCCGAGCGGAAAAAATAGCGACAGCGGCAATTCGTTTACAGATATCGCCAGATGGTCATGTTTGGTCAGACAAGTAGGCGGGCATGAACAATACGGTGACGTCACCGCCGGATCTGAACGGTTGCATCTCCACCCTGACGAACCCTTTGAAATGCAGGCTGTGGATTCGTCTTTTGCAAGTAGGCGGTTCTGGGTTATTAAGAGGGCTTGTGAATAGGTTGCGAAGGTTCGTTTCATATTAAGACGTAGGGGGAGGCGTCCTCGCACGTCTTATGGAAGTCAAGGGTTGGGTAAGTTCTTTCTTAAGACGCAGAGGGGCGGCCTCTCGCGGCAGATGGACGGATTGGGTAACTTTTTTACCTCTGTCGCTTTCCTTGAAATTTAGCCTTAGTTATTTCATGTATCAATGAAAAGAAAAATAGTTTTTATTTTATATTTTTACGTTTCCACTAGTACTGTCCCATCATACATTGAGACGTACAAGGTTCTGAAAATGACCTGCGTTATTTACCTTGGCTCATAGATATGATTTTCGGCATTTGATCATTGAGAATTATATAACAAAGCCTTTATTGGAATAAAAATCATTCATTCAGCCGACCATCGATAACCCAAGGGGGAGGGGGGAGGGGGGGACATAAAAGCCCTCTCGGAGCAATGACCGAAACATCAACAGTCTCATTGTATTCGACTTGTATAATGTTTTCGACGAAGACAAACACGCCCCTTCTTCATTTCTATTTGAACATTATATTTGAACGTCTTGAGAGGTGCTCGAGTCTCGTTTGCTTTTCTGAGCTTCCTCTGTACATTTCTTTCCTCTTTCCCCCTTGAAGTACTTCCTAAGTACTTCGGCTATTTATGTCCTGCGAAAATTATTATTCTCTCTCCCTCTCTCTCTCCTGGCTCCGTCCGTCTCTCTCTCTCTTTCTTTTCTCTCTCTCTCCTGGCTCCGTCCGTCTCTCTCTCTCTTTCTTTTCTCTCTCTCTCCTGGCTCCGCCCGTCTGTCTCTCTCTTTCTTTTTTCTTTCTTTCTCTCTGTCTCTGTTTTCCCTCTCTCTTTTTCTTTCTCTCGCCCTCTCGCACACTACTGTAGCGTAACTGCCCTCTACATAACGACAGAATTGTCCAGCGTTACCGCACAGTGAAACAGGATCTTGAACACCCGAACGAAATTGTTTATAAGTGATAATCCCCGGTGTTTATGTTGTGCCAACAAGTGCGCTCGTAAATCCGGGTTGCATTACAGCTCCCTCCCCACTGCAGCTGTTGACTCGATGTTGCTCACTCTCGGCGCACGCGGTTTACAGGTTGAGTGCCTCGTAACTCACTCTAGTCCTCGTCGTGGCAGAGTGGGGTCCTTCGGCGTCTGGTCGGCCGCGCGCACCTGTCTCCTTCGTTAGCGCCCTCCCGTCGCCCCCGCTGCGCCCTCGGCCCCGCCCGCGTCCGCCGGGGAGGGGCTCGACGCCACTAAAGCACGGGCTTGTTCACGGAGCCTCAGAGGGATTGTACAGCTGGGGTTTCGTTTGTTTTTCTTTTAATGATGGTGATGTTATTATTATTGTTATTAATATTGATATTTTAATTATTAATATTATCAATATTTTCATCATTATAGTTATTGTAATTATTATTATTATTATTGCCGTTATTATTAATATTATCATTATTATTGCCGTTATTATAATTATTATATTATTATTATTATTATTATTATTATTATTATTATTATTATTATCATCATTATCATCATCATCTTTATCATGGTGACAATTATCATCATCCTCAACAATATTAGGTATCATCATATGGGATTAAGCTTCATCGTAATTCACAATATGCATGATTATCCCCATCCATAGAATTGCCCCCCCCCCCCCCTCGCCGCACCGCACGCGAGGGCCCGTCCCCGAGGCGCCCGGAACCGCCACAGCCGCCACTTCGGGAATTAAACGATCACTCTCACTCGGGCCGCGCCTTTTAGGTCCGCTAAGCCTAATTCGGTGAGAAATGGATCTTCATGGGGCAAAGTCCATGCCTAACCGCGGCCTAATTTAAAATGTAAATGATTCCCCGCACCTCCTACGGTCTCCCTGACGTCTGCCACGCTCATTGTGGCCGATTTTGTCCGGTCGGCGCGGGTGGACATGGCGGCGGGGGCGGTTAAATTCACCGGGGCGGACGGAGCGAAAAGGGATACGAGGAAGGATACTATTTTCACCGGGGACGACGGAGCAAAACTACTGAAGGAGGAGATCGAAAGGGCTGTGGAGACAAAGGCACTTATTTTCACCGAAGAGAACCAAACGTACACGCCTTAGAATGTTGTTACTGTCAAGCGAGGGAGACGTTGTTAATTTCACCGAGGACAATGCAGGCGACAGAGCGAAGGAGAAAGCTGCTATCACCGAGGAGGACGAGGTGGATGTGACGGAAAATACTATTATTTTCGACGAGGAGAACGAATATTTTCACGGGGAAGAACAGGGCGGTTAGGTGAAGGAATCGCTTATTTTCGCGTGCCGGGGTGAGCAGGGTTGAGTAAGTTACGCATAGAAAAAAAGCACACGATCCTGCTGTTTTCTTTTTGAAGGCCACAACAAAGAGAATAAAGGAACAATAAATTTCAATAGAATTTGGAATAGTTAGTGATATAATAAAAAATCAAGATGTGATGGATTTATATTTATGTACATGATTAGATTTTAATGTTCAATGTGACAATATACTTAAATTATTCTCTTGTATTTCATAATAATCTTACAAGTGTAATTTCAGTGTAGCTCCATACACTTTCATTTATCATGCAGATAGCATTATATACCACTCTGCACCAGTAAGGATGAAAGCAAAAAGCATTGTCCTAGATTCAGACTCGTGGTACATGACTTTACTAATACTCCACCTCTTCGCAAGAAAGAAAGGAAAAGGAAAAAACTCAAAGATTTTGAAACACTTTAACCCACGCGATCGTTATTGAAGAAATAATAAAGAAACGTAAAAAAATGATATAATAACAGAAATGAAGAGGATCGAATAAGAAAAACTGCAGACTCTTAGATTAAAATACCCTTGCTGCGCTATACTTTATGGGACTCTAAGAACAATAGAAAAAAGAAGAAAGAAAGAACGGAAGAAAACACGCAGTGAGAGAAGACATAAAAGAGACTTTTAGCCAGATTTAATTACTATCCAACTGTCCTCGTGAATCAGACACGGAATAATTTCGTTAAAACAAGAAGCGTTGTCATAATTGTAAACTCCTTACTTAACACCATGAATAGAATAGAAATAAGAGAGAGAAAGTGATCATTGCAAAGATTACC